CTCTCTGCTGCAGCCTGTCCCCATTGTGTCCCACTCTCGGGGAGCAGCGCGTGGGTGGAGGACGGACGCCCGACGTGGACGTATGGGCCGCGAGTGTCTCCTCTCGCCGGGCGACATTATCATCCACCTGCAATTCCCGGGTGCCCTATGCATCCTTCACTGCGAGAGGGGGGAAGAGGGGGGCACGGAGGGAGGGGTGAGAGAGAGAGACACGGACTGAGAGTACTTGTGGCACTCGGATGCCTGTTTAACTCTTGAGGAAGCTAATCATCGGATTGAGGTGCTGAGGATGATGGGCTACAGGCTTTCAGAGAGGAGGGGGGGGGGGGGAAGTTGCTTTAAATGCAAATCCCTTTCTTATAAAAAATCGGTTCCGTTTAAAAGGATTTCTGGGAAACGATCCACATTTCCACGGCAGGGGAGACGGTCGGCAGGAGAAAACAGCGTAGCGCCAGTCAAACATCAAGGAGACAGAGGACGTGGAGAGAGTAGCAAAAGAAAAGGCTACATGTCTGTGAAAGAAGGGGATTGAGGCTCAAGTAAGGCCTCTTAGATAAAATAAAAAAACATCCTTTCTGGGTTAGTGAGTTTTGGGCTGAGGAGCTTTGTGCTATTCATCATGCTAGTTAAGTCAGGAGGTGACGAACAAATAGCTCGTGTGGGAGATGGGAGAATGTTTTAGACGATAAGGGGTTGATGTCAATCCATCCCTCCACTGAATGCGATCAGATTACATCAATGTGAGCACTGGATGTTTTTATTCCATCTGAAGAAGTCGTTCACGTGCTGGCTGGCTGAATATAAAAAGCAACTGGGGAGTGTTGCAGCATTTGTTTAAAGAGTGTAGATATATTACATACACATACACATATGCAGAAGTGCATTGGATTTCCCACTCTTCTCGCATCCAATAGCGTTGCACGATATGAACCGTGCTTCTTTGTGAACACAAATATGATGAATCCATCTTCTTTTTCATTTACGGTATCTTTCAATCCTGTAACATCTGATGAAAATGTGAATTAACTACTCAGTTGTCTCATTACTACCCGCCGACCCCCCCGGTGCATCTACTTGTGGCTCTGTGAGCTCATTGTTCCCGACGCAGGGAGCACGTGTCACGTCAGACTCAGGACAAAAGATGTTAATGTCAACGCTTTTGTTTTTGGGGTTGTTTTAGTTTGGATGGAGGGGAGAGTGGGGGGGGGGGGCGGTGCAATATGGAACGAGCCGCTGCTGTGTGTAAAGTTTGCAGGCGACAGGATGACAATTCGAGCTGAGGCAAAGGAAATGTGCTGTTTTTCACAACCGACAACCCGTCGGGCTCCTGCTTAACAAATGGCGCTGAGCAGCACTCTCTGGTTGCATTATGTGGAAAGGTGATGTGCAAACGGAAGGAGGTAACAGCTGCGCTGCATTACTGCAGAAGCAGGAGATTGATCGTATAGAAAGATGGATTTACAGCGCTGCAAAAAAAAAAAAACTGTGAGCGTCGACTGAAATATTCAATTTTGCTAAAGATGTTCAGCTGTCAATCACACGTCACCGTCTCAGATATTCCCCCGCCACGACGGATCGACAGTCAAGCTGCATGAACACGAGTAACAAGATCCTTGTGGTGCGGTTCAATCCACTAGAGCTGATCCACATTTCTAATTTGCACATCAAAAAAAACCCAGAGTAGACGTTCGGGGCTTTTTTTTTGTTGTTGTTGTAAAATCACAGAAAGGGTTTTTTCACGCTTGACTGAGGTGGCAAAAGAAAGAAAGCCATGGAAGCGCACTCAACAGATTGTTCATTGTGAACAGGAAGCATGTGACTTATTTTTTTCACACAGGCTTCCCCTCCACCGAAGTGATGAAGAATTTCCTCAGACGAAAACATCTATTCAGTGTGGAGCAAATCAGGAGACGTTAACCTTCCCCCGAATGAACAGATGAAAGAAGCCTAAAAGCCACTTTTCCCCTCACATTTCCCACTTCCTTCTGGTTTCCCTGGGCTCTTACGCTGCTCTTTCAATCTACTCATCTTGTGGCGTCCTCTTCTAACTATTTGCCGCAACCGACGGGAAGAATTTGCACCACCAGCCGATTTCCTGGATGCAAACATTCAGAAACTCGTTTGCCCTTTTGGGGAGATTCAGTTGAGACGGGCGCTACTTTTCGATGGAAACGTGTCCATTGGTGGTAAGAGTGACTCTGTACAAAGCTGGTTGCACCTTCAGCGGATCCAACAGGTAAATCAGCAGCACGAGCTCTCAAAAACGCCTTTGAGCTGAGAAAGGAATACGGAAGATCGCCCTAAAAAGTTTAGATAAGTTGGGGTCACTTTCGAATAATGAACACTGGTATGGTTTGAGCTTTGGACCTGAGCAGTGCGGCGTTTTTGTCCCTGGCTGCATCTTTCCATCCGTACGAGGGAGAACCTGTATATGTGTGAATAACGAGGGGCAGGGAGGGAAACCCAATGGGTGCTTTACAGAGTGAGCCGGTGAGTGGGAGGATAAGAAACGTTTAGAGCTTACATTCTAACGTCAAATATTTAAAAATGGCACTCGGGCTGGCTATATTCGTGAGAATTACTAATCCTGGATCAAATAATTAAAAAAAAAGCTTATATCATTCCAGTTTAAGGTTCATACCTTTCTGTACATGACACATTGTGTGTTTCAGAAGAGAGGCCCTCCTGAATTAGCGTTTGTTTTTTCTGTGTGTGTGTGTGTGTGTGTGTGTGTGTGGCAACGTCTGTGCATCGTCATTACTAATTTCCACCCAAAGCATGTAATTAATTTCGAGCCAAAAGTAATTATCTGATCAAGAGGGTCTATGTTTTAATCTTCGCAGAGACAGAAGGAGGAATAGATCCACGCACTGAGCGAGCAACCGGTGCACGTAAGTGAGTCATTTATCCCGTATTTGGAGAAGGAGAAGAGCTTTGGCAGCTGGGAGCTTCAACGAAGTTCACTGGAGGATCCCCGACAACGGGCGATCCACAGACACGGGAACCAGGCATCTGGTTCTCTACCGCCTGCGTGTCCGTCCTCCTGGCCGAAACCTTGGGCGGAACCGGCATCGTCGAACCTCGGCAAACAGCCGGGTCGGCCGTTTAAAAAGGGATTTACTCAAGCCCGCCGAGCATCGTTTCCCACGCACCGATCCGAGGTTAAGCACCTCTCGCGTCCCAAAGAAACAAAGACCTCTGCGTTGAGTCGGGGAGGTGGAGTTCCAGCTGTGGAAGAAGCCACTGACTCCTCCAACGGCCTGATCCTTTAACGTCTGGGAAAGTCCCGAGCTTCTCGCTCCACGTACAAAAGTCAACAACAATTTTTATGTTTCTTGTTTTTCTGCCCCCGGCGAGAACTGGCAGACACTCTCTGCAGCGGGAAATTCACAATCTTTTCCCAGTGCTGCAAATGGAAGCATTGGGGAGACCACGGGTGACGTCCCCCTCCCCAACCTCCATCCAAGATCCACGACGGGGCATTCGGGTGCCAGCAGACACGTGACGTCCGGACTCAAACCAGAAGAAGTTGACAGATTCACGTTCCTGCCGCACAGTGTGTGCAGTCATGCGTGCTCGTGCTGTGTTCCGGTTCACAGCGGCTATTGATTGCGATGAACATATCGGGGGGGGGGGGGGGGGTTTCATTGTGGGAGAAACCATTGTTTTCAGGGCGAGTTTTATTTATTTTGGTCTTGAAACACCAAACTCACGTAGCAGCCCAGGTTTGGAACCGGAGAAACAAAAGCTGCGTTACTGATTAGTGCTACGGTTATAATAGCATCTGTCTCCATTCTTCACTCCGCGGCGCTGACTACTGAGGGGAAATGAGATCTAGGAAGCCCACTTGTTATGCCACAATGTCACCCTAAGCAGATCATCGGAAATAGGCTGAAGGAGAATAAAGAGTAGTCAACAGCATGCAGCCGACACAGTAGTCAGGTACCTTTTGAGAACCTTGCCAGTCAGTGGCTCTTAAAGGAGACCCAGTTGTGATCCGCTGATCCTCGGATTAAACAAAAAAGAAAAAAAGGCCTATTATTCCAGAAAGGATTTTACCCCCGGCCTTTCACAGGAGTGTCATCTTTTTTTTTAAATCAACTCAAATCAGTTTGGAGTTCCCTCCACACTGAAACTTCCCGAACAACATCACAGAAAGACGAAGACGTGTCCGGAGAATTAAAATGAACAAGACATCTGGGCCTTAAGACATCTGGGCCTTCTGATTGATTTGGATTTGTCAATGTGGCTCCTGCACCCCCTGTACCCCCCCCCCCCCCTCCCTTCCCTCCCTGCATTAAGCCAATTATCCAGACACTGGCCCTGTTGTTATGCTGATGATGCCAAGCTTCACTCGCCCCCAAAACCAGACGGTTTGAAAGCAGCATTTTTCTTTAGCTTCGTGACAGCTCATGTCTGACTGCTCCCCGCAGAGTATACAAAGCTGACCCGCGACCTGCTAGTGGCATGTCTGCTGCAAGAAACGAAAATAAATGTTGATCCAGACTATATACACAAAAAGTGTTTGATGCATTTCCCACACTGCGTCACATAGATCTCAAACGCCAACTCACAGAAAAATCCCCCGCTATGATCCTCAGAGCACTGAAAGTTGCGTAATAATTGATCTAAGAGGAGCTGGTTAAGGGTCTCCAGGGTGCTGCCTGTGGACCTTTGACTCTAAAGGGAAAAGCAGTGTCTGAAGATTTTGTTAATTCTTTGACTATGCTGGAAGAAACACTTTCAAAATAAAATACAATGAGAATGAGGTGAATTAAATTTAAGCTGTGTACACCACATACTGTTATTTCCTTTACTGGGTTTGCAGCCACATGCTGCCATAACATTTCCAAGACCGTTCCACCGAGATTTAGGTCAAATCATTGCGTTTGATGGCATCGAATGCTCGTGTTTTTTTTTTTACTGCTCTTTTTTTTTGTGTCCAGAAACAGTATTTACCACAGAAAACCATTCGACTCGTGTACAGTCTCCAGACTCACCTTCTTCTGCAGAAGCCAGGAGGGGCCGGTGGAGGAAGAAGATGCACCCGAGCAGCACGACGCTCCTGCACGTCAGCCCCATGGTGTTGAGACCCAATGGTAACCAATAACAACAAAACAAAATAAAAAAAAAACTTCTTCCGAAATTGACCAACTTTACGTTGCGATGAAAAACCCCCAAAGAGCAGTCAAAGCGTTTCACCTCCCCGGTCCTCTGTCAGCACAGAGTGGACATGGTCCACACTTGCTGTGTCCTCGGCTTTAAATGAGCGCTTTTTGTGCTCCGCGTGACTTCTCCCGATTCTTCTCCCCCCCCACGCGGATCGATGACCGAGCGGGTTGAGTCCGCGGACCCCGGACACCTCACTTCATCTGCGTTGGTCCTCCACATCGGTTCATTCCCACATCCACAGTTTCCTGCTCAACAAACAGCGTTTTTATTCTTCTTCTTCTTCTTCTTCTACTTCTTCTTCTCCCTTAAAAGCACGAGACTGTTTGCCTGCTATCACGAAACAGCGGTGTGGATTCCTGTGCGACACGTTCAGACCCCCCCGGAGCCCGGATTAACGGACAACGACTGGACCGAAAACCCGGTGTGAGATGTTCTCGTTTGTTCTGAGCGGGTGCTGAAAGTTGCGCGCTCTAGCCGCTCGTCGGGTGAGAAGTGGACGAGTACTTTGGTCAAGGAGGACCTCGTCGCCGCATCAAACCTCAAGTCGACTGCCACCAGCAGACTCCGCCCACTGACTCTCGTTGCCATAGCAGCAGAGTAAAAATCAGAAAAAAGAGATAGCGCACCGAGTTTCCGGTGGGCGCCTACAAAATCAAACCCATATGGCGAATAGTTGGAAAGCAGCAAAAATAATAATAATTCAGATTTCTTGTTACGGTTCACTTTGTACACTTTGTCCCTTTAAATTTTTCAATTCCAAGTGTTGTGTCACTCTAATGTTCTGGGTCTGTTGCTTTTTTTTGTTCTTCCCCATGGAGTATTAGGTTAGATGGAAGCTTTTACTTTGACAACAGATTCGCAATACTTTCGCTGTTATTTAGACTGATTACATTTCCCTTGACTCCAAAACAACGATGAGGTCCGTCCTATCTACAAGTGGACTGTTGGCATCCTGTCAACTGCCATCGATGTGAAATCTGCAAGTATGTGTTGGAACAATCAAGCAACGCAATATCCCAACCTCACATCCAGATGTTGGCCTGATCCTACACCCAACTTGGCCTGATGAAATCCCTGTTGGCAATGGAAAGCAACTGATTGTGCATGCATAATTAATGCCAAATGTTCATCTTTACTGAAATATCTTTGGTGCAGCGTGCGATGACTCCCCATTTGGGCAACTCGTTGCCACAGAGCAGGCAGTTTAGAATACAGAACTTCAAGGGCACACGTGCAGGGCTGATAACTTCTGGCACAGGGGATTTGAACACTTGGCCTGCAGATATGGTCTCCGGTTGAGGTCAATTGAGCTGAAGTCTGCGAAATGCAGATAGACCAACAGGCTATCTCCTGACTCACAGACCACCCTACTACCTGCTTTCTTGCAGTCTCATGAAAAAAGACGATTTGCACAATTAGCCGTGTTAGCATTATAAATGAATAAAATTAAACGTGTATGTTTTATAACATTTTGTAATAAAGGACTATTTTATCTTTCTTTTAAATGGGCATGTTTCCCCGCAGCATACCATCTGAACGCAGACGATTTTATTAATGGCCATGTTACCGAGTCACTACATCAGTGCAGCAGCGCGGCCTATTTTCTTATTTAATTAATGGGTGTTTGACTCAAGGAAAGCTAAGTGCAATCACTTTTTGAAGACGGTCTGCAGCATGTATAAGAGGGAATGCAAATTTTAAGTGCAAATGACAAAATGTAAATAAGATATTTGCAATTCAAGCTCAGTAAAAAGGCCAGACCAATGTTTAATGTTGGCGAGGCTAGGGCAGTGTTTCCCGCTTTCTGGATTAAGCTTGTCTTGTCCATGTTTGTCTGTAAAGTGTGTGAAGTAGAATAATTGGGTGGAACAGATTTAATTTATCCATCCCTTTGAAATTGCGAGAATGAAATGTTTTTTCTTGCAAGTAAGATCAAAATATAGAAATGAGCACAGCACTTGTCCTTGACCTTGGTTTTAATCCAATCCCTGTTGCTCAGTTATACAACAACTGCTTTTTCTTTCCTTTCTGTCCCATTTGATAATATGCTAGTATGTTACATAATTGTAAAGAAACTCAAAACATAAACATAAGCATGAGGTTGGTGCTTAAGGGTGTACCAGTCAGTACGGCGTGCATGAAATTCCTCTTCTATCACTTCCACCGCCGGCGAGCAGCGGCGGGAACTTCAACGGGCAGTAATTCTGAAACAAACAAGTCAGAAATGTCCCTGAGAGGTTGCATTTCGCTTCTTCCCAGTAAGTTTGTGATTCGATTTGAGCGTAGGACCAAGTAGCTTCTGGATAAAAAATAACCACCAAGAGAAAACCAGGCTCACATCGGTCAGCTGTTTGTGTACACAATGCTCATTTTTTAATGTCATTTTTGTTACTACTATGTTATAAGACGCTTAACTGTCTTTTATCGATTTGACTTTGGTGATCCCCTGACATTTTGTTTAGTGCCACCAACAGGTCAAAGCTTACTTGTGCAGTGAAGCATCTCACAATGTTGATGGACTGGCACCGCAGTTTGTTCAGCCATTATTTGGCCCCCCTGACTCTGGCGCTACCATGTGGTTGACACAACTACTGGATAGACGGCCATGGCATGTTACACAGTAACTCACCTCAAAAAACCTCCGTGATCCATCTGGGTTTTCTCCAGAACCATCAACAATCTTCAGTTTTGTCTCCTGCTTTACTTAAAGATAGCTGTTAAACATTAGTGTGTTAGTTATTACATGCTCATTGACGTTAATATTTAACTCAAAGCACTTGTGTGTACTTTACATTATTTTGACTCAAGCAGATTGAAACATGTGGACAGGAGGAGTATTGAACCATCTGGCTGAGCTAAAACCATAAAACCATCTAACAGTATGCAACCTGCACACCGGGTACAACTAGTGCAAACATGTCCTAACATCTTCTTTGCCAAGCCTCTTTTGGAACAAAGAGGGAGCTCCATTATTGACACACAAAAGAATCACAAGGTTGCCATTTTTTTTTTATTCTGTTCTTGGAAATTAAACAATGTCCCCAAAACCTTTAATTTTCAATCATGTTTTCATTTGCAGCAGCATCTATCTGGTCTGCACACTTCACTCGTCTGTGTGTTCAATATTATTTCAGGGCGCACTTGGGTGTGTCATCCGTAGTATTTTAAAATTCCAACGTTTGCATATTGCTACATTATGTTCCATTGTCGTAATTCTGGGATCATATGCTTCCATAAAATGAATGTGTGCATTGGGCTCGGGTGACATAATAAGCCTTCATGAGCTAAGCTCTGCCCTTGCAGATGAAGCTCATAACATGAAACCAATGCAATTCAATTCAATTCATTTTATTTTGTAAAGCCCAAAATCGCAAATTACAAATTTGCCTCAGAGGGATTTACAGTCTGTACACATACGACACATCGGCACAGGAAAAACTCCCCAAAAAATGAAAAGCCCTTCCATGGGGAAAAAATGGAAGAAACCTTAGGGAGAACGTCAGAGGAGGGATCCCACTCCCGGGATGGACAGACTACAATGGATGCCATGTGTACAGAATGAACAATGTATAATACATTCAATTCCTATGACAGAAATTATTCAAATAGTTGTGAGTACGGCAGGACCACTGCAGGGACAACCACCATCCACAGAAGCCTGTGGAGGGAGAGCACAGAGACTTTAGGAGAGGGTAATGTTGGATTATGAGTACAGTAATATGATCAATATTTAAAATAATAATGATGATGATGTTGGCAGCAGCAGGCGTCAGCAGGGCCACGGCAAGTGTCAGGACCAGGGTCCAGAAGGAACTACTATCTACGGAGACCTGCTAGGGGAGAGAAAGCACAAAAAACTCCCATAAAGAAGCTGAATTAGTGATATGCATTAATAAAACATGAATTATTGTGGAACGAGAGTGTGAGAGAGGAGCTCGGTGTGTCCTCAGAAGTCCCCCAGCAGTCTAAGCCTATAGCAGCTTCACTAAGGGCTGGTCCTGGCTAACCTGAGCCAGCCCTAACTATGAGCAAAATCAAAGACGAAAGTTTTAAGCTTTATCTTAAAAGAGCTGACTGAATCTGCCCCCCGGACTGAAAGTGGAAGCTGGTTCCACAAAAGAGGAGCTTGATAACTGAAGAAACCAGAAAGCTGTGTTCTAAAATCGCTGTCGTTCTCTCGCTTGGTGAAACCTTGCTGAGAACAGAACAAAAATGTTGTCGCTTTATATTAAATTCAATGAATGTTGTATATTAAATCCAGAAAGTAATACTCCCGTGAAGCCGACGTGACGTTTTAATCAGTGCAATGGGCATACAGATGACATTAATAAATACACGTAAACATGCCAAAACACTCTTCACAAACCATTTCCTTCTTTCATAGTTTACCTATTCCCTGCAGATGTGGCGGAAATGAGGTGTGTTTCTTTCTTTCTCTCTCCAGACTATCGTAATAAGCCTTTAAGAGTGAGGAGAAAAAAGGCGGAAGAACCCATTGGGTTTAATCCGACTAAAGTCTGAGGGCTGTGGCAAAAAAATCCACATGAGTCTTTGATATCTTTCAACTTAATAAGGCAGCTCTTTTGAAACAGCACAAAGCAGCATCTTATAAAAACCTGCACCACACCCTGCGCACACCGGGCTGAGGATGAATCATCCGATGTCTGGGCAGTCGCTGGGATTCGTGTTAGAGGAGAACCAAAGCTGCAGAAGTGACATCATCCGGAGCACAACACATAAACAAACTCAAGTTGTCCTACACAAACACTTTGATGGCTACCAGCTGGGACCTCACAGGTAGAGGGATAAAAAAAAAAAGAGGGGACGGAGCTCTGACAAGAAGAAAAAGCAGCAGGCTGAAATTACTAATAAAATATGGAACATGGAAAGGATCTGTGTTTGATGGGTTACTGCGGGCTGCAGCTGTCCCGCTGTAATGTAACAAACGCCGCTGAGAACCTCCCGAATAACCAAAATATTTGGGAGTCGAGATTGAAATGTCTTGGTGATGACTAACCGTTCCCGTGGCGGTTTTTGGAAACTCGTTCATGCTAACATTCCTGCGTCTTGGGGCCCGAGAGGGTTACCTTGACCAAAGAATATCATATCTGAGTGAAGGAAACCAGGGTCACCCATCTGACGACAGCAAGGCAGAGAACGATTGCGTAAGTGTGGCGAGCCAACAAACGCAGACCCATTTACTGGAAGCTTCCCGCTCATAATGAACGCACATTTTCACCTCAGCATTTATTGTGTACCTAAAGTGTCACAGTGTGTACTGCACGTTAGGCCTGCAAGTAAAGGTTCCGCTGGCGTCCCTTCAAGCTGATCGTAATGAGTTGCGTGTGAGGGATTGTGTACTAAAATGCTCCCCTGCATTCCCGTGCGGAGGCATAGGAGCAGTTTTGAGGTTGCTTTGAATGCTTAAGATACAACCCCATTTATCAGTCTCTCACCACCACACATGTTCTTTCATAGCAATCCAGCGCCTGGCACTGACGCTCCGGACCCCATCAGCAGGCACAGAGAGGCGCTACTGCAAAACCTTTTGGGGGAAACAGGCGGCGAGTAATTGCCCCTGATGCAGCATAGGATTGACTTGCTACGCATAATGACTATCACCTTGATCCCGCTAAAGAGCGCTGAGATCGAACGTTTGACAATTACAATGCTAATTTCACTCCAACAGCTTCCTCATTTTCGCCTCGTTTTTGAAGTGAAATTTTGAATCGCTGGCTTGATTAAATGATTCCATTTGGAGGCATTCATTCCTCGTCCCTCTTGGTTGATAATGACTATCCATCCCGGCAGTCAAACAGGATGCTGGAAAGGGATCGTGCGTACGTCTGGGACGTGCAGGGTTTCAAGATTTTCCCAAAATATGAATCACTTTAATGATTCAAAAGAAGGGCTTTACCCAGTGAGCCAGTTACTAAATTAGGAAGATCATTTAAATTCTAAATATGAAGTAAGCACATTACTTTGGCGAGTTTTTCAATAATCCATCTGTGAGGCATCTGCCTTGCTGCAGCATCCAACTGTGCATCCTCCCACCAGCTTGTTGGTGAGTTTCATTACATCCGCTGTATGGAGCAGACACCTGTTAATGGCTGAGAGGAGGATGACAGAGATGTCGAAGGGACTAACGTGACGGGTGTGAGGCCTTAGCTGTGTAGCAGTTGCAGGTTTAAATCCTGTTTACGAGCTTTGATGGATGCTTCCGCCTCTCGCTGTCAAATCCTTTCTATCACTTTCAGGTGTTACAATACAGCAGAGACCAGGCTGTGGGTTGAGCAGGTGATTGATGTTTTGAATTTCAGGAGTGAACCTCAGCCTCCCTCTACACCGAACAAGTGGTGGAGAAAGTGGATAAATACAGAATTTTAACCCCAAACTCCAAACCATAAAACCGGTGGAGAAACGAGTGTATTCCACACTGTCAGAGCTCATTCAGGCTCCACGTCAACGACCACATGATGTGTGCTCAGAAAGACATATTTCATCAGATATTTTTGTCCATCATTTAATACACATCAGCCTCAAAATTCAACCTGGTATATGAGTAAAATGTTGTATTTACAGAGCATTTGAAATAAAACTTTGACTTTACATTTAGAGTTTGTCTGTTTCTTAAGTCACGCTTTGTTGTTACGCCATGAATATACAGCGTCATGAATCATGCTCAAGTCAGGTGTGTAAGGAACAGGTGTAATGTTTCACACATTTTCTTAACCTTTACAATTTTACATATGAAAATAAGGTACAGATGACCGAAATATGCACCCGGCCTGAGGCAGGTATACAGGACCCACACCCGCCTGTTCACACACACTCAAATGTAATCGAATGAAAGGTGTTTTTAGTGTTTTTCTGAAGAGAAAATGGTTCCCTTGATGACAGGGTCGAGAGCGACAGCTAAATAAGAGCCAGAGAACGAGTGTCCAAATGCATCAGAGAGCAGCTACGAGCAGCTACAAATGGAGAAGGAGTGCCCTCCCCTGGTCCCACCTTTGCTTTCTTGCAGGTTTCACCTGTCAAATGTAATCAACCCAGACAAGTAGGACGAAAAAAAGAACAAGGCCGCAGAGTCCATTTTCAGAAAGCATTTTTAAATTCATTTTATTATTTTATAGCTAATTTACAACAAGCGCTTCACTGAACTGGAACATTTTATTTTGCTTGATATTGTCATTGTTAAATATATTTTTCTGCATCAGTTGACTTTGTTGTAATTTCGTATTCAGTCTTTTCTGTAAAAATTCATATATTTTATAAGGAATATCACACTATGATACGGATGGCTGAGAGAGATATCATAATAAATACATTGAACCCTCAAATAAAGAAACATATGATTTCAATCATGGATTTGTTGCCTAGTGTTGCTGTTTCTGTGATTCTCTCGATGTGTAGATGTAAATGGATTTACTGATATCTTTGTGTCCGTGCGTGTGCAGATGTTGTTTCTGTGTTTGAGCAGTTAAACTGGGCTTTGTCTCGGATGGATCCTGCACTCGCATCAACTCCGCAGTGTGCGCGGCTAACTCAAAAGCCACACAGCACTCCAACGCCTCTGTCATATTTACAGCATTTCTGGCCGAGACCCAAACGCTCTCTCAATATGGAGGAAAATAAAAATAATATACAGACTTGAGAGGGAACCCGCGACAGATATAAATAAATCATGAAACTTGATAGTTGTCATTCACGAGCCCTCGGCTGTTCCGCCTCGAGCTGAGAGAAGCAAGTGGGCAAAAATGAACAAACAATAAATATGAATGGTCACTTCCAACAATACTTCCACCTCCACGCTTAAAATCCAGAAGAAATTATAAGTAAATACAAACACATGCTCATAAAACCTTTGAGTCCTCCGTCGTTTTCTTGCCGATACCCTTAGCATATAATGCCGTCAGTGCAAACTTTATAAATACTGTTTTAATTTTAGACACACGTAAAACCATCTTTGTTGCATAACATCATAGCAGTATTGCACTACATCTTCATGTGCGACTCACTCTCTCGCTCTGGCACACACACACGCACGCACACACACACACACACACACACACACACACACACACACACGCACACCACCCATTCATGTATTATACATTATAACCACCCGTGGATGTTATAAAGGATAGATATTCTCATATAGTATCATTTATATTTTACAAACAACACGTTTTCTTGTCACCCTCACACACATTCACACACACACAAACACAAACACAAGCAGCAAACACACGTATGCACACACACACACGCACAGAGTCACACACAGCTGCATTGTACACGTTGTTTTTCAATTTGTTTTTGACATACACAAGATCATATGTCGGTTCAAAGCTCGAGTGTGAGGTCTGCTTTACATTGAACAATTCAGTTATTTCTCTGTAGATTTTTGCTGCGTTTTACAACAATAAAATGGGAATGTGAGTAAATCCAACAACCAAACTGCAATATCACCCAAAGAAACCGATGGAATATCGTTTGGAGATGTTGATTTTTACAGACTTAGTCCCTTAGAAATTGTCATAAAAAAGATATATATATTTATATTCATATTTATATTTATATATATATATATATTTATATATATATATATATAGGCCATATAGTTGTTAGACATAACTTATCTTTAATTTGTGTGGACACAAGAGGGAGAAAGAAGCAGCGAGAAGTGGAAGATAGAGTAAAAGAAGACCTATTGCTCCCACAAAGAGGAGTTTACACTCACAGATCATATGGACTCAGACGCACGCACGCACACGCACACACGCACGCACGCACGCACGCACACGCACACACGCACACACACGCACACGCACACACGCACACACACGCACACACATACACACGCACACACGCACACACACGCTCACGCATACACAGATACACACACATACACACACACGCCATGGCTTTTACTGCGGCCACTGGAAACGGTGTGCACGTCTGCGGCTGAGGGATTCTTTTGGAAGAGTGATCAGTGGCTGCGGTGCGATGAAGCTCTGCTGTTTGTGTCTCGAGAGATAACATTCATCCTGGATTGTGACCAGCAGGTCAGAACAGCCAGTCGCCCTGCAGAGGAGTGTGCTAGGTTACAGCTGACGTTACAACTCTCTACTTGTGTGTGCGTGCGTGCGTGCGTGTGTGGGGATGGGTGTGAGAGTGTGTGTGTGTGTGTGTGTGTGTCGGCCATGTACCGCGCTCAGGTTTGGCCTCTCCTGAACACGTCCCATTGCTGTGACGTTATTCTCTCTTTCCTTCGCGAGACATGCTAAAAAAACTCCTCCACAATATAAAGGACGCGGAGAAGGACAACACGCCCCAGTTACTCGCTCTCTTTTTCAATTTTTCATTTTTTTCAGTTCTTTGTCTCCTGTTGCCATTGTCTTTGAGTATGCATGCACAAATTCAGCATATGAGTGTTTCTTTAATGATTATAATTATTTCAACTCCCTCTAAATAATGCCTCGCGATATTCAACATGGGTGGTAGAGCAAACGTCAGTCTTGGCCACTGAGGTGTTATTCTGAGTTCACACTCAGAACCAAGGGGAGATAGACCAGAAAAAGGGGACACTTTGCTGAGGAAAGATACCTCCTCGAGAGGGACTCGGCACCTCGTTCTCAGTCTTCTCCCCATTTCCTGTCCTGAAAACAAGGCAGAGCTGACAGGAAGAGGAGGACAGAAAGCCAGGAGTTGATATAAAAAGAGAGGCCGGAGTCTATTCGGGCGCCTCCATCTAGACGTAGGCGCATGGAGGTGTTCAATGGGAGCGTGAGAGGTTGAAGTGGTCTTAATAATACCTCAGGGTCCTTCCCTGCTGGGTCACCCTACACTCCTTCAAGCCGTGTTCAGACCTGTTGTCTTGTGTCCCGACGGTGTTGAGATCCGGGCGGACCGCGGTTCACACGTGGCATCAGAATGCATCCGAGATCCCTCAAGTAATCGCTTGTGATTGGATTTCGCTTCACATTTGCTTTTCGATCTGTTGGGAAACTGCGTTTAAACAAGGAAATAATAAATACACGTTACATACTACGATTTTTGACAACACAAAACCAACTGTGTTCAGGACGTTTGCGTCCCCAGTTTCGATTTGGAGTTGTCCGCTTGTGGCCTAAGATGCATTTCAATGCTGAGCGTGAACACGGCCTTGGAACTGCTTCACTAAAGCGGAACACTGGCTAATTCTTTTCCCTCAGTCTCTTGCAGTGTAATTACACATCGCTGCGTTCACCTCGGTCTCAGGGTCTCTTTTTTTGGCATTGTTCGTCGCTTCGCGGTGTCACTTCTGCGTCTTTCTCGATGTGCATTTGTCTCTCGGTGCCGTTCTCAGTGATTGCCTATGCACTGACTTTGCTGGAGGACAGACAGGCAGGCGGGGGCCGGCTCGGCCATGAGGGTGGAGGGTGGTGTCTGTCTGGTGGTCGTGTGAAAGTGGAGGTGGTGGGGGGGGGAGGTGGGAGGGGGGAGGGGGCGGCGGCTCGGGCGGGTTGCAGCATCACAGCCTCTCCCGGGTGGGGATCCAGATATAAGGCCCTGACTGCTCCTCGATCACTGTCTTTACTTTGTGATAAACCTCTTCAAAGCTGTCCCCGTCCACGACAGCTGCAGCAGGACAAAGGGACGTGTGAGGGGAGGAGAGAGAGGGAGGGTGCCGGTGGGAGGGGCACGACAAAACGAGAAAAAGAAGGAGGAAGGGGGGAGAAGAAAGATTGCAGACAATGAGAGGAATAATTCATTCTGAATACATCTTTAAGATCTGCGCACGCTGTAGATATTGAATGTAATCTCAATATTGAACAACCGGCATGTTTCCATTATGCATGCATATCTTCAAAGTGACCCATATATTTATTCGGTCTCGCATCTTTTCTGAAATGTCACATGTGACAGCTGTTCACCATTTGAAGACAGCGCCGGGTTTGTGTGCAAATCTAGCATTCACATTCTGTCGACTGCTGTGATTTGCTCTAAACGTGTCCCATAAATGTTAAAATGCTCCAGCGAAAGTAAATTTTCTCCTGTTTAACTCATTCAGCTCTGGCAAAAAATGAGAAAACGAAGCACCGCTGTTTGTGATCAGATTGGTTGGATGGTTGGAGAGAAATGAGAGAAAGAAAAATGCTCATATTATTTGAAGTACATCAATTTATGGAGAACCTAACCGATTTTTTTAACAACACTACACGTCAAACAGACGAGCGTGCAGCGGTTGCATCCTAACCAATATCAACCACAACCTGTCAGTTTCCCACAGAGGAACCCCACGTTCAGTGTGCACACGTTGTTTTTGTGTGTACATCATGTCACACGGACACACGCGTTCTTTACGCACTTACCCGAGAAACACTCTAGAAAGTCTTGTTCTAGTTTGAGGGCTCGGTCCATTCCTTTCCTGGCCTGTTCCTCTGTCAGTCGAGTGTTGATCTCTCTGTTAACATCACACACACACACACACACACAGCCTTCGTTCCAACCAATATCTGCATGACGTGCAGCATACGCATTGTCGCTTAAACAAAAGGCAGAAGGACATTTTTGAAGTACATACAGGACGTTTTCCAGAGACTTGGGCCGGACAAAGATGGCGATGGGATGAAGTTGAGCTGCTTGTAGTCTGCGAACAGCGTTGGCCGACACGTCCAGGATGCAGTGTTTCCCCTGCTGCTTGTGCACGAATGAAGGAATAAACACTGTTATTTTAGCCGTAACTTTTATCTTGTTAATAGGACAAACAGTCATGAGTTGTTCCAATTGTTGAAATGGATTGGAATTTTCCTTTTCATGCCATTGATTATTTCAGTTGTCAACACGTTGCTGCGCACCTGCTCAGCCACCTCGCGGACACTCTGGACACTGGTCCCGTACAGGTGACTGTTGTACTGGCCCGCCTCGATGAACCGATGGCTCTGGATGTCCTTCTCCATCTGTTCCCGTGACGACACAAAGTGATAGTCGCGTCCGTCCACCTCGTACTCCCGCTTGGGCCGCGTGGTGTCTGCGAGGGGACGAGCGAAACGAGAAAAAAGCAGCACAAACGCTTCAGATCTGCGCGTCTCGTGCAGTTATCTCGTGCAAGAAAAGCTAAAGCAACAGATCGGTCCCCATGACGGACAGTATAATTACTTACGTGGGACACAAGATCCAAACTTATCAGGGAACTCAGACAACAGGTCGTCATTTATCCTGTCTTTCACGGGACCCAGTATGATGATGGGCCTCGCGTAATGAACTAAGCACCAAGGGAAAGACAAGAAGATTGTGATTAGAAGCATTCAGAAGATGGAGAAAAGGGGAGATAGATACAGAAATGAAATCTCATACAAAATCCTTAAATAATGTATGACCTTACCTTCCACTTGAGTGACAGTCTCATAACTTTGTGAGGTTTTATCTCTGCCTGGTGACAGAACATAGAAGCATTCAGGCACAACTTTCTTTTTTACTTCATAAGGAAGGGACTTTTTAGCTGCAGTTATTGGCACCTTCAATTGAGCTACTAATCTGCATGGTTATTATCGGGGATGTCGGTTTACTATTCCTCGTCTCTATATATAGAGAAATAGTACCTTTATGATTCATTCTAATTACCTTGAGGGCCCAAGCTGTCTCGACCATGGTCCTGCAATAGAAAGCACAGCTTTGAGAACCAGTCACATGATATTCAAACCGCTGTGGGGAATGAACTCACCCTCTCTTTGGTGTTAACACGAGACCACTCTTTTCTTTCCACCCTGCAGAGACACGGAGGAAGAATCGTTTATTCATTTGATTTTTGGAGACAGAGTTTGAGTCAGAAAAGTTAAATGTTGCTGTAGTTGTTGATGCACGATGAAGGATAAGTCCGACCTCCCACACTCACTCACAGGGAAAAGTCTGACCTGTGCTTGCTCGGGATGAAGCCGACCTCCTCGGCTTCGTTTTGGGGGCAGACCTTACGGGCCTGCCACCAATCCTCATCACCGCAGTCCAACACATGCAGCACTTCCCCAAACCTGAAGCCCAGTGCCTGGCTGAGAAAGCCACAGTCCGCAGTCTTGTCATAGTCAAAAAGAGCCCTGAGGGAAGGAAAGATTCCAATCAGTGGCTTAAAAAAAAACGCCAGTAAATTGTATTTGACCACCCGAACAGCAAAATTATGAATAGTCTGCTTGCATTTGTGGATGCGCGGAGTAGTTTTAACTTTTTGTAGAAGGTCCAACCACATTTCTGTGTAAATTGTCATGAATAAGTGCATACAGTTTAATAATCTGAACACAGGTGCACGGGGGGCATCCTGCTCTATATCTGTTACTGCAATAATGTCTCAGACCACCGAGTGGCAGCGCTGAGCTCCGTGCTTCTGTGCATGACCGCTGTCGCTGAGCAAGGAAGAAACACAACGCCATGTTGGATTTAAACCACTTTAAAAAGTGCTGTTTGTCCAGAAACACAATGGAGGTACAGGAGCAACGACTCCTTGACCTCTGGACCCGGAAGGCCAGCAGCCAGCACACTCACTCGTTCACTTTTTCTTTTTGAATCAAACAGAAATGCAATTACTTTTTTTTGCAGTAAATCTAGTATGGTCAGTTTATAGGTTGATATGGCAACATGAGACTAAATAATGCCTTAAATCCATGGATGCTGTTGTAAAGTAATGTGGCAGATGTGTTTTCCTCATTTTAAAGGCTGCGTTACAATAAGGTGGTGTAGTTTCCTAATCGTGCTAGCCTTTCCCTAGCTGTCATTTCGTCCAGTTTATCGGTAATTATTTGACATAGATATCACAGTGTAAATATGTATAGTCAACCCTACAAACAAGTGATTTGATCAAATATATTGTAATATTACACTTTTCTCCATACCACCCAGTATTTATTTTATATTGTGTAAATGATCATTATGCATTCCCTAAGTGCCACTGACTTGTCATCGTTGGACTATGCTTGTGCTTTACTTGCTTGTGGCTTATTGCTTAGAATTGTCTGCAGTGGCCACAGTTTCCAATCATTTCTTTCTAATAATCAAAATCCCTCCAGCGGTCATGACTCATATTTTAACTTTCCAAAAGGATTCGCAGTTGCTTCGTAATTTAAAAAGATGACATTTGGCACCATAAGAGCGCTTCAGTGGCTTTGCTCAAAATGACAAAAAAAACAGTATAACAACGACACAAAAGATTCCGTTTTGTAAATACACAGCATGTCAAGTAAAAATGTGACTTTCTAATCTCCCAGCAACTCAATGTGCTGTACACGCCTTGTCAACATTCAGCCGTTCATTTCACTGCATTGACTGTGAGCTAGCCAGAGTGAGATCGCTGGATACTCTCACAAATCATATCACTCGCAATTTCGGCGAAATACCCTTTAACCTAACGTCGGCTGGCGGGCAAATTGAGATTCATTAACATGAGGCGTGATGTGACACCTGATGTAGAAGCCTCTCTTAGGGTTGCTCCTTAGCGTCGTGGTGCCAGAGCCCATGCTGCTGTTCATCAGCTGTTCCCTCAAGTCATGGATCTTAGCCTCGAAACGGCTGTATTCTGAAACAGAGAAATACCAACATCCAAATGCATCACCAGTTGGATTCAGGGACCTCGCTCACTATTGAGGTAATACCAGCGGTATTTGTCATTATTTTAAGTCTTGATGACTGTAAACCTGTGTAATACTAGAAAAGACATGCGGAGAGGTTGTGGCGTTACCGTCCGGTCTGTACTGAGCGATGATGGTCACCGTCTGGCCGGCGTTCTTCAATGCCGCAGCGGCCTGTTCGTGCGTGGCCATGCGCAGGTCCACGCCGTTCACCTGACACACACACACAGAGTTAAAAACCACAACGGAAAAAACACAACTGCACCTGAGAATGCGTTTAACGTGCGACTGCTTTAGGAAGGTGAGTCTTTACACTGAGGATCTGGTCGCCCTTGTGCAGCTCTCCGCTGAGGTCAGCCGGCCCCCCTGCCAGGATGAAAGAGATAAAGATACCCTCTCCGTCCTCCCCTCCCACAATGTTGAATCCCAGACCAGTAGAGCCTCGGTGGATCAAAACTCTACGAGGCTCCCTGGGCGAGAGACGGAGGAGAGAGGAAAGTAGAGAGACACGTTATCAATAATGTGCACTACACGAAATCAATACAATCAGTGCTTAATACCTCTAATACAGATAATCCTTCCTCTACTGCTGGTAATTCATCAGTGTACAGTACATGTTGAAGGGATCATTGCCTACCTGGGGATGTCATCATCTCCCATCATGCCATGCAGAACCGGAGAAAACCGACTAGGTGAGGTGGGAGTGAGGGCTTGTGGGTAATCTGACCCAAGATAGCTGGGGTGGCTGAGTTCAGTGTCCATATGGGAATATGCTGGGAAAATACAGACAAAAGAGGTATAAAATATATTGAAATGTATCTCATTGTGTGGCGGTTTCAAGGGTTAGGGTTACACCTCAGCCTCGAATTTTAACAGAACTTCCAGAGTCATCTCCAGCAAAATGTGGTGGCACCGTTTACTGGTGGGATTGTTCTCCGTCATTCCCCACACAGAGAGAGTGGCTTACTGCTGGTGAGGTCAGGCGGGTTGTAGGAGTTGGTCAGGAACAGGTTGTTGGGCTTGGCCACCCTGAGGTACACCACCTCGGCTGTGTTCTTCAGAGCCCCCACCGCATCCTCGTGCATCACATCCTCAAGACACACGTTGTTCACCTGGTCGATGGTGACAGGCGAAACAGGATCGGGATCACCAACCGCACACTAACGAGGCTCATTACATTTGTCGTGTTGAAACCGGGCGACTATGATCAGACAAGTCCAACAACTCAAATTCAGACTGATGTTTTGAACTTGTGAGATTTCATAATTAGTGCGTAAAAAACACACAATAAAACTGATTTGTTACAGCACACCAACCCAAATTTAAATCACAGACATGTAAAATGAACTGCTCAATGTATTGGGAAATCCTTCCTTTAAGAATTATAACAGAAATGGCTAAAAATCAACCAGATAGGAAATCCGTGAATAAAGCTGGGGGTCCCATCTGGTTTGGGAGCCCTTGTTTAAGTAAGAGGCACATTTCCACATTTAACTATTTGGAAATGTTTCAAAATGGATCATCATTACATATGACGTCATACAGCCACTCATAGCAAAATGTATCTTTGATCAGATTCCTATTGTGCATCAGCGCGCATTTGCTCAGACACCATTTAGCAGGAAAGCCCAGCACCATTTTGAAGTTTGGTGGAGTTGAGCAGCGTTACGTTTTCTCTCCGTTCTCCAGCAGATGGCAGCAACGCTGCTCCAGACTCTTTATTGGCGACGCTCCAGTTAAACATTTACATCCCATCCTACACAGCCATTAACATATTAATGAAAGCCAGTCCAGGCCATGCAAATTACAGCTATAACTCATCTTGGCTGTTGGACGTGTCAATGCCGCTTGTACACACCAATGTGTGTGTCTGCGTGCCTCAAAGGTGAGACTCTGGCGCTATTAGTAACAGATGTATTGTGTGTGGGCAAACAATGTGAATGACCAACCGCTAAGATCTTGTCCCCGATCTGAAGGCGACAATCTTTATGAGCCGCTCCGCCTTCAATGATCTTGGTGACATAGATGCTGTTATCTCCTGGTATGTGCTGGTTTCCCACCCCTCCAGCGATGCTGAACCCTAATCCTGAGAAAAGGGAGCGAGGACAGCGAGAGCGAAGGAGGCGCTGGTGAACACTGCAGCTTTGCTAAATCCAGGGGGCAAAGCTTAGCTGGGTATAAAGCATCCTTAAAGCACGCACAAAAGCGCCGATCCCGTACGCACCGATCCACACTCCCACATACCTTTAGGCCCTTTGATTAGTTTGATTTCAGTGACTTTCTCTGCTGCTGGTTTCCTGCGGAGGACGTAGAGGCGGACGATAGCACCTGCCTCCTTAAGGGCCTCCACGGCCTGGCTGTGTGTCACTTCCCTCACGTCAACATCGTTCACAAATAGGATGCAGTCATTCACGCTGAGAGAGGGAGACACACACAATGTACAGAATTATTTTTGGGGTTTGTTTTAATGAGGAAAATGGATGCGATCCTCCACCAGATGAGGTCAGGAACAGTGAACTGTATCTAATCTACAACTTTTGTTTGTTTTGGGGGATTCGGTTCCTCCGCGGGCAACTGGCCGCTTCCCCCAAATGTGGGGCGTGATGTGCGTGATCCGGCACAAAGGGTAGCGGCGGTAAAGTCCTCTTAAAAGGATGAGATGATACGTGATGAACAAGGGACCGCCTGCTTGCGGAAGGGAAGCTGATTTTCGAGCGAGTAGATTTTGATGAAATGGCTATTTTCAGAAGCACACATTTCCTCTTAAGAGGGCGTGAAAACCCTACTTATCACTATTCCGTTCATGTGTTTAAAATTGATTTCTACGGCCATGAAAATGATAGGGTGTAAAAGTTTATAACACGGAAATAACTCTTGAGGGGTGCAAGAGGTTTAACAAATGAAGCTTGGTGAAAGTTCAATCAGGGAGACTATCTTCACGCTTGCACTATTTATTTACATCCTCCCATCCTTCCTCTCCATCTTCTACCGTTTCTAACTCGGTAATTCAACCAGATTCAAACAGATCAATCAGATTGTGCCACGGCCGCTGTGAGCCAACGCTCTCGTTGTGGTCAAACTTCGAAACCTTTCTGTGCTGCAGTCAGTTGTCATTTCAGTGTCCTCCTTCGACCCGTCAACCAACAGTTTCCATCACAACCACAACAAACATGGAGCTCATCAAAGGTCCTCACATACTCTCTGATTCTGCACCTGTCAACCTCCACCATCACCTGTGTCTTAACTAAATGATGACCCTTTAGCGTGTATTTCCTCAACTCGTTATGTTTATGCAAACTAAGTCTAAACATGTAATGAAACTACTCTTATGTCTCAATTTGCATGAAGTCCCTGCTGATCAGTGAAGCTGACTCCAAAGGGACCCGACAGCTGCTGAGATCGTCCTACAAAGGATTTTACCCTGACAACGTCTGAGCGCTATTTGATTGTGAGGAAATAATATTATATATGTGTATGTAGAGAAGTGCACTTTTTTTTTATCAGTTTAAGGTTCCTGCTTTCCCTTTAGTCTTTGGGATTTATGTTCAACCTTTACTGAGCTATAAATAACAAGCTATGTACTTACTGCATAAAATAATCAAAGTCTGCGCTATCAAACCACACATTCATTCACGTCACATAGTTCTTTCAAAGGTTGTTCAAATAAATCACGGCAGCCACAGAGTCACTTAACGTAGAAGATGCAAATAACAGGTTTTGTAAGGTTGTCAAGGAATTCCCTTTTTTTTCCGATACATAGAATTTAAGTGCTTTCTGAAGGACATTTGATGTATGCTGTTACTGTAATAGCTGACCGGGAAGGCCAAGAATAAAAAAAACATTGTGCTCAGGGTAATGCATGCATTCTCCGCAGGCGCTTCGACACTCATAAGTCATTCAGGATGGATGTTTATGGGTCAACTGTAAAGACAGAAATGAAGGATTTGTCTGTACATTCGTTATTTATTGCAGTTGTTGTTTATTGTCATCTCCTTACCATGTCCATGTCCTTTAAGAAACGTCTAACCTAAATGTTGTACATGAATGTGCAGGATCCCGTTGAAATCCCAAAACAGACCGTGAGAGTAAGACATATTGTTGATACGGCAAAAGTGGAGGATTTTAGGTTGTTGCAGGCACACAGTTCTTAAACTAAACCAGGCAGGTGTTTTCTTTGATGCTGAACGTGTCGGACAGCCAATGGGCCGTAGTTCTGTGGTACTGTGCTTTTAGACTTAAACGAGGAGGTGAGGTTCCGCTTTGGCAGTGTTTTTTTTGGAGAAAAGTGACTGGTTGTCTGAATCGTTGAATTCAAAACAAAAAGGCAAAGGAAATGGGGGCAGTAGAGCATCATTTCTTTCATCTGCAACTTGAGTCGGCCTAGGTGGCCCACGGGCTTCGTGTTTGTGTAACACAGGAACATGAATACGTGAAGGCCGGCTCTGAGCGGGATCTCACCTCAGCCGCCCGTCCTGAGCCGCGGCTCCTCCAGGTATGATTTTGGTGATGAAGATGCTGGGGTCGTCGCCCACATGAGGGTTGTCTGTCCCTCCTGCTATGCTGAAGCCAAGGCCGGAGTTACCCTGCAGCAGCGAACGCAAACAAAAACCCATTGCCAGAGACAGCCAGTAGACGATATGCTTTTGTATGTGTGTGTGTGTGTGTGTGTCTTTGCATTGAAATATATCTAAAATCATGTGTGAAAAGATATTTTCTCAGACTCACTCTCTCCAGTGTGATCTCCTCGTATTCAATTTCCCCTTCTGTCCCATTCACCTGTCAGAAAAGGATGTTAGTCATCAGTGTCATTTACAGAAAACGAAACTTTACAGTGATCTCAACAACTATACAAGCCTTACTGTTTTAACAAATGATTCATAAGCAAAAATCCTAATTGAAATCAAAAAGAGCTCATGTTGATTCAGCATTTGCCCTCTGGGCCCAATCAACTTATTATTAGTGACTAGTAAGTCTTGCTTGGGGTATTTCCCCTCTGCTCCTGAACGCAGCATCAGCAGCAGCAAAATGCAATTACAGCTCCTCTCAAAGGGAGGTTCCGTCCACTAAATTGGATGCAGAATTCTTCTGCTGCTCTTCCACACACTGCATAAGTAGCGCCGCTATTCTTTCAGCCTAATTCACCTGCCGGCTAAACAAGTCTGCTACAGTATCAGTTTTACCTCTAGAATTAGGCAGGTCCCGGAGGAAGAGGGAATTTAAAGAACGTCAGACTTCCCTGTTTTAGTGTCTGACCTAGAAAACAATTTCTCTGCTGGTGCTGGTTTGTGGCTTTTCTCTGAGAACCCTCGTTCTCTAATCCCTCACAGTTCATATCTCGATTGATATCCCACTGCTTTCATTTAGAGAAAAGGCACCATTAAAGAACATTAAATCTAATTAGAAATTTAAAAAGATGGACCTAACAGTGTATGTAAAACATTGTACCTGAACGCTGGGAAAGGAGGGAAAAATGCTGATAACGAGGAGCGAATACAAAGGCATTTAAGTTGAGGCCATAACAATACGATAAATGGAAGATTAAACGTAATCCTTACGTATGGGGAGCCATCGAGCGTGTCAGTGTTCACCACCACTGGAGGAGTATTTCCCTGCAGGCAGAGAGAGATGACGCATTATTAAGAAATAATGTCGAGAAGCTGGGAGACGAGCTTTCAGTGGATCCGTGGGACCTGCAGAGAGGAACGGCCATTGTGCCGCTTAGCTGTGATAACAATATTCCCATTCCACTACGGTTGTCAATGTAAAGGACAGAGAGCACAGGAAGAATGTATTATTATCCACCGATGATGGACTCAGAAATAATTAATGCTCCACCCTACTTTTTTTTTGGTTTCTCTTGTCTGAATGACAGCCCAGTCTGGGTTACTGATACTGTCACTTCAAAACAAACATGTCAAGACAGCGAGTCAACGAGAGGACGGGATTATTCGGGGGGGTTTGGGTTTACCAGCTCGCCTGTCAGCTCATCTACACTGTGGCAGTTAACCTCCACGCACTATTTTTATTTCTCTCCTTTTAGTCTCTTCGTAATTTATTCTCATTCCCTTTGATGGATTCACTCTCATCATCAAGGTATCTGATGTTGTTAGATGTAAATACACTATTATGTGCGAGTACTGCTCGGAGAACACATGGTGTGGCTCCCCAGCTTAAACCCCTGTGTATATTTCTGTCGTTTGTTGTGTACCAGGGCTGATTAGCATGGGGGAGACGCTCCGGAGTGCTTACAGGGCAGCAAACAGCAGCATAAAATCAGCCCGCTGACCTTCACAGACCTGACAGCTCCGGCACACACAAACAACTACACAACAAAACGCTACACAGCTTCTCAGCTTTTAAGAGAAACTATTTCACATGGGTAATGGGTTATGTGATGCGCAATGGGATATTATTTTTATTTTTAATTCATTCTGTTGGTCCTGTTGGAGATGTAAGTAGTCATGGCAACTCAACGAGGGAGCGCTCACTGTGTTTTTTGCATGCAGTTTATTAGCGTGTTACAGTTTATTAGGTGCACCTGGATGAAACTAACGCAACCGTCCTGCAATAATTGAACCTCCATGAAGGTTCATTTTGTCCATCCGTCCTGTCCCCCCAAGCCCCGTTTCTGGTAATGAATCAAGTTAAATGATAAACTAAATATGGAGGCCATTATAAAGAGAAAATAGTCATCCACATGAGCAAAACACAAACAAATAATCGACATACCGGCCCTCCACAAACCTCTGGAGCTGTGCTTTAACTGTGCACTGTTCGATTATAACAGGCAGCGTACAACGCGTTGTGCTGCTGAACGTTACGTCAAATTCCTGCTTATCTAGGAACAGAAATAATGAGTGTAGCCGGCAGGAATCTAAGCCCGGTGCAGGCACTTTTCCCTTGCAGGGATTTTGACGGAGCCCTCTCTCCCTCGCTCTGCGACGTCAAGATGTTCTACGTCGCCGTTGTTCGGATTTACACAGTTTGGCTGCTCCGCCTATTCAGCTTACCCGTCCTCCGCCCTGTCTGTGCAGCCAGCAGCAGCAGCAGCAGCACCACCATCCATCCATCCACTCTCGGACCCTTTCCTCCCACCATTCCTTACCGCTCGTGTGCACGTGCGCCTGCAGTCGTGCACGTTGTCTGAGGCTGGTGAGCCATTTTGTTGAACGCTCACACCTCTGGTCCCTTCTCACTGTGGTTGACATTTTTAGTGAAATGAGGTACAAACGGCTGCCTTTGCCTTTCCTGTTGAGATGAAGCGCGCAAAGAATACTTCTTGAGTAAAGGTGAGCCGGCACCGGTTACAAAGCTACGGTTCCATTAAAGAGGAATTAACGGTACACGACCTGCACACAGGAGCGCCTTTAACTCACAAAAGTCAACAGGGCAATCGGTGAGGTAATGACCTTGATTACATTATTTGTATTGTTAAGATGTGTGTTGGCACGCTTGATCAAGACAATGTTTTGTAGAGCAACGACTAAGCAGCTGAGCATCATGGGTATCGCAACGGTTATACTGTGAATTCAAAGGGCCGCCTGTCTGTTTGAAGAGAGAAAACAGGCCCCGGATAGATAACAGCAGCGAAGGCTGCACGTTTACCGTCACCTCAGGGCTCCGCAAAGCTGCTCGAGAAATGGGAATCAGAGGACAAGCCGCGTGTGAAGTGTTTTGTAACGCGCGAGTCGGGTCGATGGCTGGCGCCTCCGTTCATGCAGCATGTCAGTGACACAGATTCATTTGAATATCAAATGCACAATGTTCACTTATTGGCTTTTTTTAAAAATCAAATCCCAAGTTTATCCAAGGTGTGCAGGAAAATGTTGTAGCATCGCTGGATGTGTGCGGGTTACGGGAAACAGCTCCCTGTTTGTTGGGGTATTGAATGGAAGAAACTGCCCCTTCACACCATTAGAGGAGGAGAGCAGTCACAAAGCCTGAGCCACAGCAGGATTTGATGATTTGATTACCAAGGTTCCCTGTGATTAAAATATCCATCATGGGCCTTTAGGGCAGGCTTGACTTTTCTCTTTTATTGCAGACAAACAAAACAACGCCTAGGTAACATAATACTAATAACAACATATTTAAACATGCGAGCACCACCTGCTCTGAGCTGCAAAGCAAAATTGTCATTTTGAATAAGCCTTCCCAAAATATTCAAGGTAAAACAAACCAGAAAAAGACCAAGTGAACGAGTTTTAAAAAGGCCTACCATCGTATGATGCCGATGTCTCTTGGCTTTTCGTACATTGTTGAGGAACCGGCAGCCCACATTTTTGGCGTACCACACAGACATGAACATTGCGCTTGGGTGACGGAATTTAAAAGCCCGCTCACGGTCCAAGAGGACATCCACCACTCGTGTGGCTAGAGTGGAGCAGTGGAGTGCCCTCTAGACGCGTCTGCTCCCAAGAGGTACCAAAAAAGCATCATTGCAAAGCAAGCCGTTTAGCTCGAGGCCTTTCCAAACAGTCGGACAAGAACCAGTGAGCGTCCAGCTGGCACAAACGAAGAGGGTTGTCTAATCGAACGCGTCGGTTCAGCTTCACGACCCAAACTGCACCACGCTTAAGAGCCGGAGCCGACCTGCGTGCAACGTCCAAGCAGAAATTTACACTTGAGCGTCCTGATCTCGCCGAGTCGGCGCGGAAGGCTTCATCCGAGGGAGCCCAATAACCTCCCCCGATCCAAAGCGCGAGTAAAACAAATTACTCATCGCCCAGAATACTTCTCAGAGTGGGCAAAAAAAAAAAAGGAGCCTTGAAAAGAGCACATCTCTCACAGCGATGGTCCTGCGTGGCGGCGGGCTGCCACAGCGGCGCCTCCCTGCTGCTTGGGTCTGTGCTCGGAGAGAATGCAGTTCACATTTCTCTGCAGCTACTGTACTGTACTCCTCCCACCCCCACGGCCCGGGGGGGGGAGGGAAGGGGAGGGAGAGGGGAGAAGAGGAGCGAGCAGGAAAAGTTTGACGGCAATTACTCAGCTGTCTCTCTGCGTAACGTCCACGCTGGTGATGTGAGAGGGGGAGGGTGTATGAACTGTACGTTGGAGGAACTAGAACTGACCTCGGTGGTCCCGGGGAGCACTGGGGAGTGAAGGGGGGAAGGGGGGCACAGTCGGTCAGTCAGAACGGTGAAACGTACACACTGTAGGCGCTGGGAGAATGCAGCTCGACGTCGTTCCAGTTTTTTCTCTTCCCTGTTTTTCGTGTCTGTCATCAGTTTGGGTGAAGCTCACAAATATTGCAGATCATTTCACGGGCAGTTTGTCCAAAACAGGTTTCTGCAATTCTGCTTTCGTTTGAAAAGGAAAACGTTCAACTAATTAAAATCGCATGTTTGAAGGCAAACTCAATCCCAAATATACAAGGTATACTGGAATTTCAGTTTTCGTTTAAGTTTTGACCAATTTATTGCTGCATTAAAGAGGTTTATAGTTGATGTGTGTGATACATGTTCATTTTGAGGATTTTTGTTTCAACTAGATATTTTAACATTAAATAACAATTTAGTATTTGTATAACTTATTTACTTATTTGTCACATTTTGATTGAAGAAGAAGGCAATATTTAGGTCAAGATTGGTTATTCAAAGATTGATTAATTATAATTAATAATTCAAAGAACACCTGCATTGGATTATTAGTTGGCCAATACCCCAAACACACACACACACACACACACACACACACACACACACACACACACACACACACACATATATATATATATATGATGGCACAATACTTTTGAAATGGAAACAGTATTTAGTCGACAAATGGATTGCTAAATAGTGGCTATAACCTTACAAATGAAGGCCCACAACTACAGAACAGAATTCCCATTGAAATCCACATTTTTCTTTTCACAGCTCGCGCCAGCTCTCTTTTTGATAGACAGATGGATCGACAGGCGTGTAATATACACATGCGCACACACAAAAGCATGCCCACTGAGCAGACCAGTGGAAGGACATGCTGAAGGACAAGCTGTCGGCTGACGCTGTCATTTTGTGAAATAAAATTCCTCTTTCCAACGATCTAATTTTCTCAACCTTCCAATTGCAAGGACCTCTCTATCTGTCTCACTCTGCCATTCAGCATGAACAGCCTCCTCCTCCTTTTGCATGCAGATTTTCTCCCCCCCCCCCCCCCCTCCTCTCCTTCCCAAAGGACCTGAGCTGCTGCTGCACTGTAATTACACCGACGCTGGAGGGACATATTTAAACATTTATTAAAGAAAAGTAAGGAGGACGGGGAAAATGAAGATAGGAATGGACAGACACCAGCTAGACAAGTGCAGAGCATGAAGGGGAGATTATGATATTGAGCTGTTAGGCAAACACCACAGAAAACAGTAAGTGAATCCTTACATTAGAAAACCATAGTCATTTTTTGCAAAGAAAAACACACGGATGTGTTTGCCAGAAAGAGGATTTGTGTGAAAAGTTCGGGGACATTCTGCGAATTTATAATATTTTGACATTATTAATTACATCATTAAAGGGGACGGAGTGCAACGTAAAGTGGGCGTCTTCAGTGATGACTGCATACGAGCCGATTCTCCCTCTCGCCTTGTCAAATGAAGGATGAATGGAAAATGTCTTCTATCAGATGGGCAGTGTGTAGGATTTGCTGGCATCTAACGGCGTAGTTGCAGAGCAACTGAATACCACTCATCACTTTGCAAGACTGCCGCGGCAAAAACAAGGGCAAAATCAATGCCCCCCCCCCCACTCGGAAGATGACATATCCAATCATTCATAAGCAGATGCAAAAAGGCTCTATTCTCCTTACGTATCAAGACTAATCGAAAACCTGATGAAATTGATAACAGACGCAGATTGCTGAATGGTGAGAACGTCTAATAGCTAAAGATAAAAGCCAAATTGTTATTGGAAACAACATCATACCTTTCATCGTCTAGATTAAGTCAGAAACCTGAAACGTATCAAATATTAGATTGTCTTCCTAACACCACTCGAGATACCAAGTGAGGTAAAGATTTCCATCACAAACTGGAATTGTGTTACCGCAATGACCCTCTTAAATGGATTCAAGAGGAAGACTTCAACTTCATACAGAATTCAGCCCCAGTTCTTAGTGGTGTAACCAAGCCTCATCACGTTACTACGATACCTCAATCACCTCATTGACTTCTCATTCAACAGAGAATTCTTTTCCAACACCCTCTAATTCGTTTTAAAGGCGCTACACAGTTCAGCTGCCGGGTCAGTTTCTGACCCGCTCACTGACTTTACTCCCATCGTCCTCTCCTCTCCGGCCTCTTGGTTCTACCCAGGATAAGATTTGGGGCGAGTAAAGGTGCTTAAGATGACGCGTTGCCGTATGAGCGCTGATCTTGTCTTCCCTTCATGTGTGTGTATGTGCGTACGGGGAAACACGCACTGGCCCTTTAAGACTACTTTTGCGACGGATCTCTGTCAGTGAATAAAGACAAAGGTGGAACGTTATGAAAGGAGACGGACGGCAGCCACAGCGATGCCTTCGGGGTAGTTAAGTGTGAGTGAACCTCACTCAAATTATAGTGAATGAATGGAATTCATCAGACATAAATGGGATTTCGGGTAATTGTGGTCTTTTTCCTTCCTCTTTAAGAGTTGCACCCACTCAGGGATTCCTATTTTATATCTATTTGTGGAGTATAAAGGTTTCTTGAATGCTGAACTCGGCCAAGCATAGTTTAATAACCAGATACCAGTGGGATTCACTCCAATGCAGGAATACCCTTCCCGCAACTCAGAAAGTTAAGGCCTACTGCTCATTAGCTTGGCCTTAGATCGTTAAAATATTCCTTTTGTCAATAAAACTTGCAGATAATAGAGCGAATGATGGATTTGTCTCCTGTATAGATGTTTTTTTATGCTAAATATAGTCCAACAAGGCATATGAAAGCATTTATTTGGACCATTTGTTTGCTCTGAGATCACAGCAGCAAGAAAAACACCCATTGGAATAATTCATCAGGCCAGTAAGAGGTAGGAAGAGACATTAATATGAGCACAAATCAATGCCAAAAGTTGTGTGCAATATGAAAAAAAAGTGTTTCTTATTACATTATGCCCCACAATTAAAAAAATAGAATGTAATTTTAAGCTAAAGCACCTCTTCACTAAATCATGCAGATGACCCAAAGACCTCCTCCTAGTTTGCCAAACCATTGCAGTGCTTCCAAAGACGATCCTACCCATAAATCCATGGGGCCCGGAGTGGTACTGCCAAACGCTGCACCATTAAAGCAATAAAGAGACAGACTGCCGACACCACCCACACCTCAATGACCAGCACATGACATGCACGCACGCACACACACACACACATGCGTTACTGCAACAAACATTGCGTGCATGCACATGCAGAATGAGTATGAGTGTATGTGTGAGGGAAGGAACGCAGCCTCGTCTGATGACTTTGTGATCAATGGTGTGCAGGATAAATTTACAAAGAGTGTAACTATGAGCAGGCACTTTTAGACGGGGCGTGTTCAAGGTCAGGGCAAGCAGACAAAGACGAGACATGATGAACAGTTACAAAAGTGACTGCTGGTTCAAGGAAGTTTGGATGTCACGAACAGTCTTTTATCTACGAAAATGTTTCTATTTAAGAGCACATGAGCGACCAGCCAGCACTTCGTTTTTGCATTCAACTTGTAATGAATCAAAACGGCTAATTCACCCATTTTAAAGGGTCTTTGGTATGAATTCCTCTGCCATTGTGAAATACATTTCTGCTTTGCAAACACAGATAAAGTCTTTGGAGCAATTCCTGGCGCAGAAGGCTAACGCAACTTGTCTGATCATAAAGCTGTTTTATTGAGAAGGCGGCAGAGCCAACTCTTGAAGGTTATGGAAGTCACTCTGCACAAGTCTTACACTGACACCTACAGGTTTCAGTCTGTCCTGCAAACAAATGATTTCCATCCGTCCATCTGAGCCCTGTGTGACACCTTTACGGGATCGGTTTACGCTTTGCTCGCGTCTCACATGGCTACTTTCATTGGCCTTCTTCAGGACACTTTCCACTCGCAGTCTTTCAGGCCCCGAAGAAAGTCCTCGGGTGCAAGCGGAGACAAATCAAAGGACAACGAGAATGATCACGCTGACATCATCATCAAGACAAGATGACCTCATACTCAGCACAGATAAAATGCCGTTTGAGCGACGCCCAAAAAGACAGGAAATGAGGATCAGACAAATGAGACTGATGATGATGATGATGATGACGGACGACTTCCTGGGTGACGGAGAGGCTCGGGCCGCCGTGCTCTTACCAGTGTGGAAACAGCGGAGGTGTACATTGGAGTGTGTCCCGAAGACATCAACACAGGCTGAAAAACAACAGAAGGGAGATGGTAACTGTGCATAACATGCAGATGGGAACAGGGGAAGGAGAGCAGATACTGCCTCGGCTTTTATTGTTTTTTTTCTTCATTTCCAGAAGTATTTCATTTAAAAAAAGTGTACATTGACCTTGTACTAGATGCTTTGAGTATGATCCAGATGCCACATTCAGTGTGTCATAGAGAAAGCATATAGTGTTGCATAAAACATAATATAATAATAAAAGATGCCACTCGGTGGAAAACACAAACACCTTTTTGTTTACACACGTTTTCACAGACCAGTAAAACCGTTTAACCACAATTAGACAAACAAAACCTGTCGCCACTATATAAATCTCATTATTTTATGCACTGATTATTACACGGTAAACCGTAAATTAAATGATGAACGATAATGGGACAAAAAAACAAATGCTTCATGATATGTAGCATGTAGCACGTAGCATGTTATTGATGGACTAATCAAAAAGAATTCTGAATTTTTTCGCCAATAAAGAACATCAGAATGGTTTCGCCTGTTGAAGCGGGATGAAGGGTGCGCTAAGCTGCTGCTATAAACAACGCACGCTGTACCTGTGCATTTTGCAAAGAGCGGCATTGCAGCATTTTCACATGTCAGGAGACACCTTTCCTCCCTCCGGAGAAGTTTAATCTTGCAGCAAAGCACGTCATTAAAATATGAATGCTGGGACAGCTGTACTCGCCGATCCAAGTAGCGCTACCTGGAAGGCGGATTCATGCTGATCCTGATGTTTACAGACACTGTATGTGCACCTCTCTTTCTTAAAATAGACATGTCCTTCGATCAATGGCCCTGCTGGAAACATTTTGGACTTTAATGCATTGCTCAGTGGCACATCAGCAGTTTTAGAGTGGCAAAGAGTATTTAACAAGCTCTAATTTATTTAATAACACTACACTCCCACGGCGACTTTCCTTGCAGGGGGAGCTGTTTTTAAACAGACAACATTTTGCTTACAACTCAACTTCCTCAGCTTTCTGCAGCCAGACACACAGAGACGAGCTGGGACGGGGATGCAGGACGAGGGAAAGCGAATCATCAACTAATAAATACAAATGTAAGAAATTGGGTTATGAGACTGAGTGAATCCAGGAAATCCACCGAAAATCATATCAGACAGCGACGAAATGGTTCACAAAACCAAAATGTCAATACTGAGCCACCATAAGGTCATCGTGAGGTCATCGTAAACCGGCCACTGTCGTCATCATTATTGCTTTCTCACATTGTCATCATCTGTCTTATTATCATAATCACAATCATTATGGTAAGCAACAAAAACACTGCGGACCATCAATATTCTCCTCAGATGTAAGTTTACTCCACTTGTTATTTATCAAACATATGTCAGAGTTGCAACGCAACTTTTAAAAGACTCCAAATTATTTTTATGTGATGCAGACCGCTGGCATGAAATCATGCAAACAATTGACTCTGAGGTAAGCGCAGACCTTTATGCTTCCCAGTGCATTCCCTTCCCCCTGGAGAGAAACACAAGACTTCTTAAATAAGTGCAGCCATCCAGAAATAGAAAGATGGCAGATCCTGGTCCCTAAAATGTTTTCAACAATGTCAACATTCTGCCTTTAATTTGATCGGACAAATATCCTCAGGGTGGAATCTTCCTGAATTGTGAAAAGTGTATGAACAATCAGTGCTGCAATATTCATTTTTGTTACTTTCCTACAGCACTTGTCGAAGTTATTCTGTTTTGTATCTTGCTATAAAGTTTTGATTCAGCATTATGTTCGGACTGAGCAGAATAAATCTCCAGACTGAGGCGCTTCTTAAGTGATGAGGACAAACAAGGTGAGCGAGGAACAAACCCTTCCTCCGGATCTTAGATCCGTCACTGTCACAAGATGTTCAGGCTCAGTTTGCGTCTGGTGTTTCTCTGTCTCACACTAATCGGTTTACCAATGAATACAGTGCTTTAGACTCGAAAACGGATGATATGACATGCAACAAAGATCCCCAGCTGGAAGTGAAAAGCGTCAGTTGCAAAAAGAAGATAAAATATAGAAGATTACATATTCAAAGCATTATAGCCTCCAAAGTGCTTCCACAGATGGACAGAAAGCGCCTCATCTCAAGTAACCACATATAATGCGGATGTGGTTGAAACGCGCTCTGTAACCAGTTTGATTCATTTTCAAAATAGTTAAAGAAAAGACTGATTGGTTTTCAGCAAACTTACGTCAGGTGCAGGACAGTTCATGTTGCACATTCTCCGCCCACAAAGCACAGTGCTCTCAGTAAAATATAAGATGACTGAAAACACAACCGCTAAGGTCGATCGTCGGCGGTGACCAAACCTTTACCGACATCCGGCACAATCTAAATATCGCTGTTTAAATTAAATAATCAGTTAATGATATCAATGAACACTATATTGATATTTAATACTTAACTTCCCCACCAAGGTTCTATCTTTGGGGCACACAAGCTGTTTTTGTCTTTTCTCTGAAACAAACCGAGCCGAGTGACATGTCTCATTTATCACTAAATGTTACTCAACGTTTGTTAAATTCAAACAAATATAGGGCAAGTAAATGGGGCAATTTGGGAGGACTTTTTTTAGTTGGATAATCAGTCCGTGTCCATGACAATAAAGGGACATTTCAATGCGATGGTGGACAGAGAAAGACTTTGTCTGCAGTGGCAGTATTTGCGGTTCGGGTTTTGCGTTTCTTGAGATTTGTTAATACAACAATCGTATAATATCACCAGGCTTATGTTTTAATAAACTCTATGTGGAGATGTACTAAGGATAACGTTCTCATTAACCTGTGCGTTACCTTCCAGGCGGACTGACTTTCTGATTTCACAAGCCTCTGGGGAATGAATGAGTCATGTAATGGATCTGTAACACTGCAGGGCACACGTCACATTTTTCTTTTAAACGGACTGAGATGACTTCATAATGGTTGATTTTCGGGAGAGGAGAAAGTCTCCCATCAGCGTCACAGACCGGCGCACCAATGATGTCTGTGTAAAAAGGAAATCTGCTGCAGTACATCACCGCTAAAGACCCCCCCAAAAACTGGTCTAACAGAGACTGACATGTGGCAGACTGTTTTATAATGTCCCACACGACGACCATGACTGACTCTCAATCGCTGCTAATGTTTGATGTTTGTACAGTGTTTCTAAACTGGGCACAACCTCAAAATGAATCTCCACGGCCTCCACAGCTCATGCCGAACAGCCTCTGCGCGTTTCCGAATGGCGGCGGCGAAGCGCAATAACTCAGCCTCTTCTCGCCGCTCATTAAAAGAGAGCATTTTAATGGACAAATCAGCTCCTGCGGGACTTCAGTGGGGCTCCCAGGGTGGAGATTGAGAAACACTTTCCCCCTCAGAGCAAATAAATACATCGGAGCTCTTAAGTCCTGACGGCCGGAGAGGCGGTTAAATAACACGTGGGGGCTTACGGGACGGATCGTTGTTGAGTGTGCATTACGGCCTACACCTGCTCGCATTTGTAGCTACAGTGTGTAGAAGTTAAAGCACTCCAGGCAGCGCGACTCACTCTCATGTTCCCGCTGATGTCAGCGGAATCTTTCTTTTGTCTGTCCGGTGCATCTTGTGTTGTCTGCGATGTCTCCGTCCTTTCCGATGAGGAGTCCTCACGGAGGGTCGCTCCTCTGCGTCGGTAAGACGCGCGTCTTAAATATAGTCTATAAAATAAGTAGGTCAGCGTCTGTGCCGGGAGCTGCGTTGGTCGTGTGTCTCACATTTACAAAGTTCTACATCTCCTTCCACCTCAAGATGTGAGCCTGCCAATGTATCACACTTATGGAATACAAAGATCAAGAAGATCAGCTCTTCTTTATGTACCTTCAACTGTACGTGCCAGTTAGCTTTACTGTTGTTATCATAGTCATTATTGTTTTTTTTCAATCATTCTCTGTTACACATTCAATTCGATCTGTTATCAAATGGAACTTAGACCACATCCCGAAGCGGTTAATATCCTCCGATTACTAAATACATCTTGCGTCCACTTGCCTGCTGTTGAGCTCAGATATCAAATGGCCCAATGTGGTAGTTGATTTGACTCCTAAAGGTGCAAAGAGGCCCGGTTTCCTCAAAGGTACATTATGTTCTCATCAAAGTATCGAGTGAAGAATTGGAATTTGAAAACAGAGAACAAAAGTTTTAGCAGATAATGTGTAATTAGCCATTTCCATGTGAGCTAACTGAAATTCCCAATATAGATATAACAAGCTTAGTGCATGTTTTATCACGGAATAAGGAAAATTAGAAAAAACGTCATGATGACTGAATCTGCTGATTGAAAATGGACTCTCAGACCTTTGTAATAGCAAATTGGTAATAAATTTTAGTTCATTTGGCATTTTTCGTCTCATTCTCCTTCAATCTGAAACATGATTAAAAACAGCATTAAAAACAGAGTGATGCACCCTTCTGTGTCTCTCCTATTCAGTTAGGACAGAAAGCTCTGAAATGGATCTTTGAATGATCTCATGTGTCCTTTTTTATGTATCTGGAACATTCAATGGTCATTTTCAGCCAGTTTTGACAGCCCGACTGCAGAGTGGCTCACATGTCATCACACTGAACATTACATTGCGACCTATGATGTGTTTCGTCGCTTTCAATATGCTCTGTTTGTTTATTCTGACACAATAAAAGTCCCATTCCTGAGTGCAGACAGCCGAGTGTATTATGCTGTTGTGTAGGTGTTAGGTATTGATCCGACAACGTATAGGATTGTGTGTGCGTGTGTGTCCTACCTTGACAGGAGAGATGTGCGTGTGTGGCGTGTAGCCATGTATGGCCTCCATGGCGGCGAGATTCTTGTCACTCATGTGAAGCATCTCGGCACTTTTCCCTGAAGCCAGATGTGCTGGACTGTGCTCTAGGGGGGGCGTCTCCTCATCCTGGTACCTGTACTTCTGCAGACACACAGACACGGACGAGGCCGTTAGTCGTTGAAGCACGGCGGCGTGAATGCCAGACTGCCTTCACAGAGCCGGACTTTCCACCTCGAGCCGAACGTGGGCACGCAAACCCTGCATCATCACATAACGCGTGTGACACCTACGGGTGCCGAGCGACGGCACCGCGGAGGCCTCAAGTCTTTCCACTGTGCGTGGAGCGAAGTGATCGTCCTCCACAACCACACACGCAGCGAGCTAGACCCGTGACTCACAGCGGCAGAACAACACGCAGCTCCCCCCCTCCCCCCCCCACCCCCCCCACACCTCCTGGTATCACTGACTCCCCTACCGATGGCCCACACCTGGGCGGCCTGCCAGCGGCCCACCGTCCACACATGGCATGTTTCATCACGCAGAAATCTGCATACGGCGTTTTCCATTAGCGGCGCGTCAAGAAGGCGGGCAGCGTCACAGCGGAGATCTCCCACACTGTCCTGTGAGTTATTTATTTATTTCTAACGTCCCAAAGCCCCCCCCCGCCCGCCCCCTCCCATCCCCCTCCCGCGGGCTGATGATATGCTCTACTGCACTGCAGATGCGAAGCAGCCCACTCTGAAGACAGAGACATTTGGGGGCGTCGTATGAACGTTTTGGTTGTTAAGCCCAGTGGCCCGGCGCCGCTACCTCTCCCCCGGTCTCATTTCTTTATTTTGAGGGACGGAGGTGCATCACCGAGCCCCGTCTCCCGGCGAGCTGCTTAGCAACCGGAGCGGAGCAGAGATGGCGGAGCCACAGTCGGGGCTGCCAGCGTCGGCCCTGGATCGCATTACACTGAGACAGCAAGAGAGAGAGAGAGTGAGTGCAACAGAGATGGAGATAAAGGAGAAAGTGAAGTGGGGGGGTAAAAATGAGAAGAAAAAAAAGAGAGAGCGTCCATAAAGTGAAGCGCAAAACAGCAGGGAGAGAATGAACAGAGCGCTGATTTTGTTGTGTCACATTACAGGTTGATAAGCAGTCATTGATTTTCCTTTATTAGGCACTGCAGAGGCCTCGCAGGACTACATTAACATGAACAGATTAAATATTATGTAACCACACTCCACGTGCTACCTACACACGGTGTAGTAGCGAACTGAACAACTGCTGGTTGATTAGCAATCTCCGTATAAACCCTCCTAAGATTTATATTAAATGAGAAAACATTGAGTTAGTAGATATTCATACATTACATGAATCACAGTTCAAAGCAGCCCTGGGCCCTTTGGTCTGCGCTGCCTCCCCCTCTCTCCTGCATGAACAACATTCATGCTGCCATGTTGCCTTCTGTCCCACTGTTGGGGGATGTGCCAGTCACCGCCTATGTGTTACAAAGGGTCCTTCTGCAGGAAGCTTTAGGTGCGTTTCCTCTGACCACGGACAACGATAATTATCGCTGTCTCGCGTAGCACAATAATACACTATGATACGCAAAGATTGTGTCCAAGATCCATTTTTTTCCCGAGGTAAATTAATACTAATTTCATGGATCCTGTTTGGATGCAAATGCTGCTTTTAAGATTGGGAGCTGAATTATGACAAATGCAAATTCTATGGATTCATGTGAAGATAAGGAGCCTTTTTTCTATTCAGTCAGTAAAGGTTCACGACAGGCTTCCAACTAGTTAATTGCATTCGTCCAGCTGGCGTCCCAGATATCAATCAGTGCCTCATTAGATATCTTCAATGAACCGGTAGCTCAGAGTCCTGAGAACCTTCCTCAGACGACAACACCTTAACATTGACCTTTGCATTTGGTATTTTTCCTGGTCGGTCCATATACATTTTTGTATGGACTCATACCAGCAACTGCATGATTGTTGTAGCTCCAATAGTTAGAATAGATATCTGAACAATTAAATCATTGAAGACAACACTAAAGGACTTTCATCAGAGCACACAGGGTTCAGCTGGAAGGTCAGGTGAAAAAAAAAAAACCCGTTCACATGCCAATCACTGAGCCAGGTGTACAGGCTCCGCCTCCTGTGAACTGGAGCCTTAAATCCGCTGAATGTGGGAGGTTTACAAGTACTTTTGGTAATGTTTGAAACAGTTTATTACTGTTGTATTATTTAGTTAATTTAGTTCAAAACAATGAATGTGCCTCATATTCACATTAAATGATCTTAACTTGAACAAACAACATCTTTGCTATTATAATGTAGTTTGATCTCAATTTGATTCTATGAAAACACTCCAAGTATTATCTTATTGCAATTAAAGGTATTAAAGTTGTAATATCTTGCAATTGGAAGATTATTTCCTTGACTGTGTAATAAGAGTGAACTGTATTGTTCATTAAAATGATGGTGAAAATAGCAACAGGCAGAGATACTAACACAAAATACTTGCAATTCACAGTTATGAATAGAAAGGCAAATAATAGAATGAAATTGTGTTATTCTTTTGTTTTGATGTATACACTTCCAGTCCTACAGTTACATTATTAACTAGAAGACAAAAGTGATACAATACCTCACAATTTCTGTTACAATAAACATAATTGCACATTGTGTCACTATAATTTATTTTTATAAGGTTCTTAACAACCTTTTACAATCTCCCTTAGAGACCCAGGCCTCTAATCTACCACTAAAACAAAATACGTATTGTATTAGTATATCACCATGGACGTAATCCAGCAGGACGTACTCTCCCTGTTGCAATGGTCAAATTAAAGAAAGTCTCCACTGGTTCGCTGCTATTTGTTGGCCCTCTTTTACTATAATAAGAACTTCACACTGTGTGGCTGAATGAGCTCTTCTTGTAATGATTATACAAGTTATACTTAATGTAGAGCAAATGTCAAATTCTATCTACCATCATCTCAATTTGTAATTTGTAAAAGGAATAAGCTTGAGCTTTTAAAAGACTGAATCCAACCTCACCTCTCAGGAATATCATACTCAAACTGCAAATGCTTTTGATGTGCGAGGCGTTAATGGAACCACACAGAGCTTCTCAGGTGCAAATTAAAAGGTGGCAAACTCCCCACTGTAACTTGACATGTTGGAAGCTTTTCTGAGTTCATCTTGCATTTTATTTAATGACAATTAATCTTTTTTTTCCTATATTTGGATTAACATCAACTTTTGCTGCTGTGATGAACTCATGGGGGATTTTGTGCTGGGAGTTAAGTCTCTGTGACGTTTCACAGCGCTGTCGGACTGAACTATTCTTGAAACGTAGTATTATGCAATAAAATACATCTCCAATGAAGTAAGAGTGCTTTTGATAAAACTGAATTTAAATGAGTTGTATAAATAGACGTTTAAACACGTGTTTAATTTAAACACAGCGACTAGCAATATGTATTCTGTTCAGACAACTGCTACTGAAGTATTGTCAGAAACCAAACAGCTCATACATATATACTTTAAAATGTATATCACCTGTTTAATTGTGACATCAGTTTACCTCTCTATACATATGTTATGTACCCCACCTAAGGTGAATATTTCACCATCCTGTTTAAAATCAGAATGTCTATAATAAACACATATCATTGTGATTTCCACTTCAGCGGCGTGCCGATAAGAAAACAGAGTTTCTCCCAGATGTTCACGTGAACCTTCATTTTCCCTCTTACGACCCGTCAAAATCACTCCTTGTTTGATTTTCACTCTCGAGTGTCTTTTCAAGCGAGAAACACCAAACGCAGCTTTCATCTCATTTGCATTATCACCACTGCTGTTGCCAGACAACGCCTACCAGTACAACTGATACCCTTTTTCTTCCCGTGTATGTATTCCTCAGACGACAGAGAATCCACTCATCTTCTGCCAGTGCTACCTTCAGACTGTCCTCCAAGGTGCAGCAGCACAAGGCGTTGGACGACTGCAGGTATCCGTGTGTGCTGCAACAACAACAGCAGCACTCTTTACAGTCACCATGGGGCAGAATGCTTAAAACGGGACCAGGAGGGATTTTAACGTAACAATCACATGCAGGTAATATGGGAAAGTGGGGCTGCAACAAAGAGGAGCATCTTGTCCCCCCCAACCCTCCTCCCCATGGAGTCGCTCTAGATTCACCCACTTTGCCCACAATCAGGTTTTTTTGGGGCGTAGTCCCTCCGCTCTCTGTGATGAAAATGAACAGCTAATGTCTAATGAAAGGAGGAATGGATGTGCGTACTTATTTATGATTCATAATGTATTGTTAATGTATTATCTTATCCAAGAATAAGAGGAGCTTATTATTTGTTTGGGCGATTATTGAAAGCGGAGCCTCCTGGGCTGCTGAGCGATGGTGTTTCATCTTTGGTATCACCTTGACTGCATTAGTGCTCAGTCCCACAGGGAGGCAAACAAGGTGCACATCCTGCCCAGTAGCACAACTCGAATCATCCAACAACGACTTTGATCAGACATGTAAAAATACTTACAGTCCCGAACAACGTAAGACTTTCTCTAAAAATAACAACGAGGTCCCTAAAGTAGTGCTGGGCCCCACCAGAAGGCTTATGTTGCTACAATGAAACAGAAAAGCCATGAAAGATACATGAAGAAAACTGTTTTTCTTTCTCCCTGAGCTCATGCTGCACTCAAACTCAACATTTAGTGGTCCTTACATTTCAGTATTAAATATTTGCTTGTTAAATTATGCTCAACTAACCCAAATGAGTGAGATTCCAAGTCTCAGTTCTGTGGAATGATTCATCGTCGATATGACCCACACAGATGTATCACGCTCACATTTAATAATCAAATTAGAGTCATGGATACAATAAATGGTGCGTGCTCGGCTGCAGTGCTTAGTCGGGGTGGAGGGATCCATCTTGTCTTGTCTGGAGTCTGTTTTCACAGGAAGTTCATGCTTATTTGTATGATAAATAGGAAACATCAAACTAAGTGAATTCATGGCAATTTGCTTTCCTTTATCTTGCCAAATATTGTGCTTTGACTAAACCCTGTAAAACTGACCTGAAACAACAAATAACCGGCAAATATTTATATTGCTTGTATGTTGAGGAAGAA